CAAATGTTTGCCTGTTCAGAAGGAAATTGAGTCACCTCTGAGTTGTGATCTGGAGATTTTTCTCATAATTCTCTGCCAAATGAGAGGTAACTTCGCTTCCAACCCAGCTGATCAGGACTGTTTGTGGAGGCAATGAGCCTGTTGACAGATGTTTTGCATCCAGCTGACCTGTTTTCCATCCTGAAGGTCGCTCTGGATTGCATAAAATCCTGTTCAGGTGGGAGCAATTCCTCCCTTTCTGTCCAACCTGTAGGTGCTGAGTATCCAGATGAGCTTTCAGCATCCTCTGTGTCCCTTTCTACCCTTGCAGTTGTTATGGGTCTGCAGGTTTGTGTCCCACATTTTGCCTCCCCACATAATTCCTGGGATAGCAGTACTGCCAGCTCTGGCTTTTGCCCTACGTTGCTCCCTTTTTTCCATTCCTAATTGACAAAGTGCTGTTGCTGTGACATCCCAAGGACTTAGAGAGCAGGAAAAAATGGTTTTGTACTGATATTCTGTAGGTGAAAATACACAAACTTACTTGAGACAGAATATTCTGCTGGCATCTTAGCATAATAGAAAATACTGGGTATGTTTTCCTTGTCTTCCTTAGCCTTATCCATGAGAGAACCTTGAGATACAGAGCAATAACAGACATAAAAAATTGCACCCTTCAAAGCCACCCAGCTCTTCCTCCCTATTCCTTACTATTTATAATATTTATGTTAGTTTTCCTTGACTCCTTTAAAGTCTGATCCCTTTAAAGTTTGATCTCTCCTTCTAAAGTCACATCAGACTTTCCTACATCCTTTTCTCCCCACTCTCCTCAAAAAACTTTGCTTTTTCTTGTCTATCTGGGCTCTTTTCTCTTTCTGCCTTCTACTTCAACAACTATTCAGACTGTCTCAGATCATCGAGATCTTTGTTGCATCTGAACAGAAATTGGGGTTTGGCTTTGACAGGTGTCTTTTTAGCTCAGCACTGACATCTTTTCTTAGGCAGCAACTTCCTGCAGGATCTATTTGAGACGTTTCTGAGTGCATAAATTACATTGGCATGTACAAATCAGCGCAGCAAAAATGTTAATTACTGCCACTTTTCCCTTGCTGAGCCTCCCCTTAACGGTTTGAGCAACTTTTGTCTGCTCTGCTCTTTTATTTTTTTGTCTCTCCAGATAAAGTATCAAATGGCCTTAACACTTGGTGGTGGTGCAGAGAGAGCAAGGAGAGCTTGTTTTTCATGTTGTGCTTCATGCAGATTGTTTCTCTGAAGGCGTGTGAAGGAACCTGACCAAGAACGCAGGAGATCTGTAAGTCTGTAAATTGCTGCTGTGCTTAAATACGTTTTTTTGCCAAAAACCTTATTCTTGCCATCCCACGTGGGACGTGGCACGAGTGTGGTGGCATCAGCAGGAGTGGCGTGGATGTTTGTGGCCTGGCAGAGGGTCTGTGAGGTGCCACGTGCTGCGGGATGTAGGAGACGATGACGTTTGGCATCACTTCCCATCATCAGTGTTTGACATCAGCAGCAGCTCTGCCCCGTGCTGGGAGTGGGATAAGGAAACTCAAGCTGTCTCTGCCCACACCATCTCTGTGTATGTTGTAACCAAGAAAAGGAACATATATAATTAGAGAGGATGATTTAGGTTTTCAGATCCTGAGGATGGTGACTGTGACACAGTGACAGTTCCTGGATGAGGTGGGATCAAAAACGTGACTTTAGAGCTGATTTCTCCTCCTGGCATGGGAGGATCCAGCTGCAGCTCCATCCCCTTTGCTGTGATAGTGACATGCACAGCCCTCATGATGCTGAAGTGCTTTGAAATCAGGTGGAAAAAGGGATCCTGAGGTTCACAGGATCAGTATGTCCACAAATCTTGGACCTGTTCCTCGTACAGCCCTTTCTGCTCCCCTCATGCCTGCTGAGCATCCATCTAGGAAACCCAGGCACTGCTGTGGAAGGGGAGGCAGGACTGGCAGTGCCTCTCCTGCCTTTAATGCCTTTTGATTTTCTTCCTCTCTTGGATCAAACCTGTGAGTCAGAAGGTGCATTGCTGGAGCCTTGACCACTGCAAGCTCAGGCTTAGAGGGGAAGGATATCTGAGTGGAGTTGCATTAAAAGTAGGTTTTAAAAAGGAGCCATGTATCTTTTAAGTGAGGGCTAAGTGCCAGGGCTCAGTTAGGAGCTGTCCCTGCCTGCAGGAGCTCGAGCAGTGTGTCCCTGACAGGACTGTGCTCTGTGGGCAGCAGCTTTAGCAGCCAGCATGAAATTCAATAAATGTGTCTCTCCTTCTGGAGAACTTCTGAAGCTGAAACAGGAACACAAAGCTGTTTATCCACAGCAGCCAACACAGGCCTCAGTGGACTGGGAAAATATGCACCTGACCTTTGATGAGACTGTTGTGTCCTCCACAGAGAGAGTGTGGTGAGAACACCTGGATGGCACAGGAGCCAAGGAAATGGCACAGGAGCCAAGGAAGTGGCACAGAGGACAGTTCCAGGCCACAGGCACGAGTGCCACGTGCTTGGGGTCTAGTCAGAGATGGTCAGACACTGCCTGTCAAATATCCAAGAGCAGGAGGGAGGCAAGAGCTGTGTCCACCACAGCTGCACCATTCGGCATTAGAACCCCTTGCCCCTGTCAGCCAGGGCTGGGCTCTGTCTGGAGCAGGGAATGGTTGGGTTGGAAGAGGCCTTAAAGATCATCTAATCCCACCCCTGCCATGGGCAGGGACATCTTCCACTATCCCAGATTGCTCCAAAGCCCATCCAGCCTGACCTTGGATGCTTCCAGAGGTGGAGCAACTACATCAAAATTTTATGAGTTTAAGGGATTTAGAGACAATGCACAGAAACAGTCAAGTGTGCATCTCCAGCAGCTCCTCAGCTCCTTTGTGCCTCTGCAGATGAGATCCCAGTGGTGCAAGCAGAGGTTTGGTTGTGTCCCCTTGCTGGCAGTGAGAACACAGCAATAATGACCAAAGGAATAAACCTGCTTTCTGACTCTTGTTTTTCTTCTGTCTTCATGTCTTGCTGGGATTTTCTATTATCACTGAGCCAGGAACAGATTCATATGCTGGGAGCATGATTAGTTTCCATCTTGCACCTTGCAGTGGTCTCAAAACAAATGGTTTCTCAATGTTCTTGAAAGCAACAAAAAAATTAAGCTTGGAGCAAAATGTCCTGGAGGCTTTCTCCAGAAGAGCCATGCTGAGGTTTCACTGGGACCATCTCAGAGGAAAACAACAAGATTCCACACCTTGCCTTTATCCAGAGCATGAGCCTGCTGTTCATGTTTGGGGTTATACCAATGGACCACAGTTTTTGGTGTGTTCATCAATTTTGATTGTTTTGTTCCCTTAGCAAAGTTAATTTAAACATTTAATTAACATTAAAAATTTAATTTAGGTTGACTGCTGTGACGGGGGAAGGACATATCATGTTCTAAAGCTTAGAGGCCTGTTAAACTCATTAAGTTGCAAGGTTTGAGAGGCTCATCAGCATTTTTTTTATTGTTCCATACATTTTTTGTGGGAAAACCAGAGGAAAGCAGTAACAAGGTTCAATACACTGTTCTTTTAACAAAGAAGCAGGAGGAAGAGGTGATGCCATGGGCTTTGCAGGCAAGTGGAAGATATCGCTGCTAATTTATTCTCCTAAAATGCAAATTTTATGGATGCTGGGAGTTTTTATTATGGTTCTTAATGATTCCTATGACCTGTGATACCTGCCAGTGAACCTTAGCTGGGAGCAAAGCCTCCACCTGGGTGCCCTGCAGACAGAGGAGAAGCCAGAAATGTCAATTGCCACTTGTTCTGTTAAACCTGATTTCCTCCAAACCTGAAGTGAGAATATATAGAACGTATCTGAATCTCCACATACACTTTCTGCATGCAAATCACAATTGTGGTGTGTTAAATTGCAGCCTGAAGAGCCAGAAAAAATAAACAGAAAGAAGGGAGAAGCAAATATGAGGGATTGAATCTTCAGGTAAAACCTTTTCTGTGTGTCTGAGGGGTGGGCAAACCCCTTGAGCCCCGTTCTGGGACGGTGATGTCTCAATAATTCTTACTTAAGTGCCATCTGCATCACCAAGGAGGTTTAGGTTGGATATTAGGGAAAATTTCTTCCCAAAAATTATTGTCCAGCCCTGGCACAGCTGCCCAAGGCAGTGGGGTAGTCCCCATCCCTGGAGGGATTTAAAAAGCCTATAGATGTGGCACTTGGGGACATGGGTTAGTGGTGGCCTTGGCAGTGCTTGGGACTCAATGGTTTTGGGAGCTCCTCCAACCTAAACTCTTCCACGTTTTTTGGGTTTTTTTCATGTGAAAGCTGTTGGTGGTTGGTCAAAGCTCTTGAAAAGGTGGAATCTTCTCTGTGCACCTCTCATGTCCAGAGCTTGTGAACCAGAAATGTGGCAAAATCCTCTCTTTTAGAGGAATGTGATAAAGCTGAGCACAGAAGGTGCTGACTAGGCACAGTGGAGGGTCACCAGGAGGTCAAACACTCATGATTTAAAAAAACTAAGTTAGTAATGCATCAAAGTTTATGGCTGAACATGGAAATCCTGGACTTTTATCACAAGCCTGTTCTTGTCCCTTGTCTTCACAAGCAGAGTTGTACGAAGGTTAATTTTGTATGAAAATGGAGTTAAACTGAATGCAGATGCAGTGAAAGCTGACACCAAACTAAGCTTGAGCAGAATCCACCACAAAGTGCTTTTCTTTGCAGCAGAAACACGGACTAATCCTCTTATCCTTGGAGTTGGAGGTCCTGTAGAGTGGGAACGGGAGGCTCGATTCAAACCAGAGGATTTTCTCTCTGAATAAGAGGACACAGACTGAATATGCAAATAGTGTTCTCCTGACGGGTTTTCTTAAGGGATTGCTGACTGCAGAGTTTAAATGAGGCTAATTTATCCCTATTTCTCTAGCCCTGCTGGTCCTGAAGGATCCTGAAGTACTTCACCAGCAACTACAAACACGTCCTTTTTAAAAGTCATTGAAGAGTCATTGGATTATGTCAACCACTGACATGATCAGCACCACCCTGGACAGTGGGGAACAAATTGTCAATCACAACCTGGGATCACATCACGAATTTTTCTATAAAAACTGGTAAAGACCCTTACATGCCTTTCTCCCAGTCTTACCTGAAGATATTCCAGCTCTCTGCCTCCTGGAATTAGGTGCATCTACATCAGGAGACTGACTCTGTACAGATAAACCACACAACCCCCTAGAATGTCACACAGTTAAATTTGTTACAGTAACAAATTATGCACTCAGACAGCAAACATTTACTGCATTGGAAATTAACACCATTTATTGAATAAACTTAATGTCAGCTAAGATATGTCTCCATGTAACAGAAGAAATAAGTGTCCACAGGACTTTAGTTCAAAGAAAAACACTTAAAATTTGGGTGCATTAGAAACCAAGCATGTAAATAAAAAAGGGGAGGAGAAAAAGAAAAATATATATATATATTGTTCTGTATTGTTCTCTGTATTGTGGCTGCTCTGAGTATAATAAGATTCTTTAAGGAACTTTCTACTTGAAGTGCAGTTTTAGTGTTTCTCCCTCGCTGCCAGGCTTTCCAAGGTCTTAACCTGATCTATTGGAAGTGGTAACAAACTCTCAGAATGTATTTTTGAAATCCTTAGACCTTTGCCCAGGTTTGCTGTGATGATCCAGACGTAACAATAAACCCTCCCGAGAGACATTTAATGGGACACTTTAAATGAAATCACTTGGTGGTTTCATAATGGCAGCTGAACGTGTGTTCTTGCCATTTGCCCATTTAAGAAGAAGAAAAGGCCAAACAAGGGCCAATTAGTCATAATAAAATCAGCTTTGATGACATTTTCACTCCTGAACTCTGGTATAAAATGGTCATCTAAGAAAGAACTGAAGGGATGTGTGAGGAATTTGGTAATAGGACTGCATGTACGTACGACACACTCTCCTGAGTAAAAAATGAGCAGGTAAAGACACTGATGGTTACTTGGTTTATGGAGAAAATATGCTGGGTTTCTGTGTTTTTCTCTGTATTCACCTAGTTTTGCTTGATTTTGGTTCAAATTTTAATTAATCTCATCTTTTCTTTGGAGTCTATGCAGGTTAAACTTTGTTTTCCTTCTTTGGATCTCAATGACATTCGTGTGCTCGGGTTACCCCGTTGGCCCTTCCAAGGTAAGTCACACTCCCTGCTTACTCCAAGATGAGATGCTTCATTTATTTCAAATTGCTATTTTATTTAAGTTAGTTTTGTTTGTCTGAGTGCTTCTTTGTTGTTGTGGCTTTTTTTATGAAATGAAAGAAGTTCCTTGCATTAAAGCTATTGGTTAATTATCATTACCTAATTTCCCTGGAGTATAACCCAATTTTTGCTTTAGTTATTAATAAAATATGCAAGCCTCTAAAATAATCATGTGAGAGATCCAGTGCATATTTAATGTGGAGTGTGGGGAGCTGAAATATTGTATGGAAGATAAAAAAACATAAATCTCTTCATCTAAATTCCTCATCTATATCAAATAGGTAGAATTAGATACATGTATTAATTTGACTTGTTTATAAACCAGTTAATTTATTTGTCAGTGGGTAGGTAAAGTTGAAATTCTTATATGAAGCTGTGGAGAATTATTGCATAGAATCAGGAGTAGAAAGTTGATTGAACTACGAGAGAAAGTAGAACAGCCTGTAAAGCTGAAGTGAGCAGGTTAGTTGAATAATATTAATGTCCTTTCCATGACAAATTGCTGGCCAAGTCACCCAGACACTATCCAAGACTTTCCCAACGTGGAATGAGATATTTTATTTCTAATGATGACCAATTTCCCTCCTCTGGACAAAACCTTCCTTACATCCCTGTATTTTATTGCTGTAAATCACCTCTAGGAGCCACAGCTCATATTTCTGTGTTTCCTCTGGTGTGTTTTGCATCATTATCTTTTCATTAAGGTGATCTGCTGTTGTCAGAATTTCTGGCTACTGGCTACTATTTTATGGATGTGAAATCCCTGTTATCCTTAAAGTATCCATTGCCTGGCTCCTCTCTCTGTTTTACTTCTGTAAATGCTGAATCATCTTTCATTTCTGATCATGGGTAGTTTGGGCACAGCTTGATCTGAGCAGCCACTTTTCCTCCTGGATCTCTTTATGGCAGTGATATCATAGGTAAAACTGAGTTTAATTATTGCAATACATTGAATTTATTTATTCGATTTCAAGATAACAGTGATTTCCTCAGTAAGGGAAGTCTAGGGAGGTAGCAGCTAAAAATTCAAAGGGGAATTTCTCTGTGCCTGGGTTGTTGGTTTTTTTTTTTCATAAAAAAAGTGTTTCTTCTTGTTAGGGAGAAAATTCAGTCTGGGGAAACTCCTCATCTGTGACAGAAGGGGCTGGGACTTGCTCTTGGTTGTTAAGAATCATTAAACAAACAAAAAAATATAAAGTACTAAACAATATTAAATAAAAGCAGTAGAATACTGAATTAAAGCTAGTAAATCTAAATTTTATTCCAGTGAAGGCAGGGGTTAATCCTATGGCTTTGCATGGAACTTTTAGAGATGGAAGAGTATTGTTTTTAGATAGATAATCAACCAGCTGGGAGATCAGGATATGGTGAAAGATGCACACGGCAACTATAGACATGCCAGGAAATGTTTTGCTTTTGTAATTCAATGATAATTCAAATGCAATTTAATGTAAGGGCAGTTTAAATCTGGAAAAGTTTCTATGTAGTTTGCATTTTTATCCTTTAAAGTGCAGGTAGAAGGAATGTGTCCAGAAACCTACATGGATTTTTATCCAGAATTTTTAAAATTCCTATTACTATATTTTCATTATTAAACTTTACTACTACCATAACCACTCATACCTACTGGAAATCTTCCTCTCCCAGATTTCTGCTTTACAGATATTTTTGTTTTCTCTTACCTGTCATTTAAGCTACATAACTTCACACAAGCTACAACAAGATTCTATTTCATTGTTCACTGAAAAAATCTCATTTTACAGCAATAAACACGGATGCCATTCCAGGGAAACTGTGTCACATGTCACAAGTGGTCACCATCACAGAAAACAATTCCTATCATACTGTGAATGTAATTGTATCAGTATTTTATACCAGAAATGCAGTGAAGATTTCTGGAAAACGATGAAAAAAATCTGATTTTCAGTTTGAGAAATCCCTAGCAAATAACAGTTCATCCTTGTCACAAACAATAAATTGTTTTTGTGTTTCTACTTTGCTTTCCATAGTGAACAAGCCCTGGCAAATACACAAATCCATAATTTTACCTTGTCTTATCTGTCTTTTTTTTTTTTTCCCCCTTGTTTGCTTGTTTTTTAATCTCCAGAGCAACAATCCTTTTTATTTGAATTGCCAGCTGTATGGAAAATCTGATTATTGCCTGCTCCTGCTGAACAGCTGCTTAGCCAAGGTGGGCAGGGATGAAGAACTGGCTCTTTTAAAGCCTCACCTGGAGACACCTCTCGACAAAAGGTCCTTTCGCAACGGCGTGGGATCGGGAATTAAAAAAACTTCCTTTCGAAGAGCAAAGTCATGAACAAGTGCCCCCAGCCACGGCCCCCATTTTGACATCTGATGTTTAACTTTGTGCTTAAAGAGTTATTTTGATGCTTTTCTAGGATCAGACCAGCCCGTGTCCTCAGCATGTAACCGGGTGTTTGTTCCCGAGCGCTCGAGCCGAGCGGAGCAGATGGGATTGCTCGGAACGGGCTTTGTTCTCCAAGTTACAGTGTCATAAAGTTTTGTCTTGGAATGAATGTTTTCAGTTGGTTAATTCCCCTTCTTTGTAAAGCTACAGATTTAATCAAGTTGCTTTTGATTAATACCAAGATAATCCTATGCTATGAGTAGATGTGTGTTCGCAGCCTGTGGGGAGGACGGCGAATATTATTCCCAAAATCCCTCCTCTCTGCCATAGAGACAAACACGAGGCAATCCTCTGCTTTCCTGTCCCAAATCACATTTACTTGAAGGCAACTGCTCTGGCAACTTTAATACACATTTAAAGTACATTTTATTTCAGATTTCCAAAGATATGAAGGGCCACTGATGAAAGGCAGAATCAGGCCCTACTTGTAACTTCCACTGGCTTTTTAATATAGTTATTTAAAATTACTTTAGCAGGGAATAATCTCTGGAGACGTGTCAGCTCATTTCCAGAAGAGTCCTGGGAAATCACTGTAAGGCAGGGTATCAGCACTGCTCCCTGTGCCTCAGTTAATTGACTTCGGTAGGCAACACACAGCTGAGGAAATGTGCCAAATGTGGGACTTTTTTAAAATTTCCTGTTAAAAAAAAAAAAAAAAGAAAAAGGTAATTTTGTCTGAAAATAGGTAAATGCAGGATGTAAGAAAGGTCATCTTCTGAGTTACACATGTGTGAGTTCTACCTTGTGGCTGTTTCCTCCAAGTGCTGTGACGCTGGCTTGAAACGTGGCAGTGTCCATGCAATTCCTTTTGCATTCAAAGCTAAGATACTACTAATAAATCAATAGATGGATGTTTTCTAATATTCCCCTGTTAAAGATCATAACCCAGGAGATCATTATTAACCCTACAAAAAGGTGGTTTGGTATCATCACCTCCATGGTGCCCAATCCTGCATTTTGCACCTCTGAGCCCATGGGGAAAAGTGACCCGATCATGGAGCTCTTTTGGTGGGATATCAGATTTCTGGATGATTCCTGGCTGATTCAGGGAGATCAAACACACTCCTGTCTGTGTTTGTCCAAACTGAAAAGTTTGATTCTTCACAGTTTTTAGAGCTGCTTAAACACTTGGTCTCCTTTGGGACAGTGCTGGTCTCTAGGTTTCTTAGCTCTTGCATCTCTTTGTCGAGTGTCTCCTAGAGAATATTAAAAATTTATAAGGAAAATATCAGATATTTGTTATTCTCATGAATTCTGTCTCCTGTACTGTCAGATGAGCAGGGCAAGAGCAGTGACACAGGAATTCCACTGCAGCAGGACATTTGTCCTGTTCCACTCTTGGCTGCTGTGATTTTGGCCACAGCAGTCTCTTGCAAATACAATTTTCCAATTCCAGCAGCATCCAGGTCTCTCCAGAACTGCCCAAGAAGCTGTGGCTGCCCCATCCCTGGAAGAGTCCAGGGCCAGGTTGGATGGGGCTTGGAGCAACCTGGGCTAGTGGAAGGTGTCCCTGCTCAGGGCAGGGCGTGGAACAGGGTGACCTTTAAGATCTATTCCAACTCAAAGCATTCTGGGATCCTGTGATTCCATGATTCTGTTCTGCATCTGTGCACAGCTGTGGGGATGGAGATGTTTTGCCACAGTGCAGCTTCTTGGTGTTATTCTGTCCTGCTCCTTGCAGCTCATATCCCACCCAACTTAATTTTCAGGAAATAAAAAAAACTGGGACAAATTCAGATTTACATTTTTCTTGGGCTTTCACATCCAGTTTTGTTAACATTTTTCTACATAATCAAATACATTCCTGCCTTGGTAACCTGGGATGAGCAAGGTTGTCTGGAAGTCAACAGAGCTCTACAGGGAGCTTGGAAAATCAGCCTCCTCCCTTTCACTTATTGTGCAGCATGAAAGTAACTCATTTAGTGTTTGACATTTGCCTTGGAGCAGGGAAGGGATGCAGAGCCAGGATCCTGCTCGCACAGACCTTCATCCCCTTTTATTGAAAGGATGGGCTGCAAGAAAAAACAGCTTCTTGGCTGCAGGAAAAAGCTCATTATTTATGATTTAGCCATTCCCTGACAAGCCACTCCACCTTGAGGGATCTGCATAGACAAAAAGATCGTAGGAGGAGGTCACCAAGAGCCATAAGTCTTGTACTCACCTAAATCACACTGAGCAAGCCTGGAAAATGCAGATCATGCAGCTGACTTGCAGGAGTGGTTCTGTCACTGCTGGGCTGATCTTGCCATCACCACCCACTGAAAACTCAGGGCTGCCACTGATGAAATGCTGAACTCTTCCCTGAACTTTAAAGGTGGTTTTATTTTGGAAAGAACAGAGAGTAACATCAGTGATCTCTGTCAGAAAATAAGGATCTAAGGGTGCTATTGCTGAGCACATTAATTTTTATGCTGACAGAAACTGGAAATATGGCATAAGATGTCTCTTTTTTCAGTAAAAAGAGGACATAGGGCTGGCTATAGGGATGCCAACCTACAGCATAATTAATGTGCTGCCAGGAATTATATTCCTTTCTGGAGAACAAGGATTCATTACACTGTGAAAAGATATTTTGTTGACTTTCTTTACTATTTTTCTTGGTTAACCTAAAAGAAGGAGAGAAAATAAGAGAAATAGAGGGTGGGAAGAATAATGCTTTGTCTAGGGATTGAGGAGCAAATTGGGAGGTTGGGAATGGCCTGGCCAGTCTTGGCCTTTGATAGTAATTCAGCCTGTGACCTCAGACAAATAATTTATACTGAATTTCTGCTACTGAAAAATAAGAAACTGTCTCCATCAAGCCATCTTGAGTAAGCAGTGTCATGACTGACGGATTTGGGAAGGGCTTTGGAGATGTTGGGGCAGAGAAGGGTGGTTTCCACAGCTGGAGGGGCTGAGAGAGAGGTGTGAGCTCTGCTTCGCCATCAGTGTCACCTCCAGCCTCCCCTTCAGCATGGGACCAAGCATCCTCTGCCCATGTCCATTTTCTAACCCCCAGGGAGCCCTGTGGATCCCACATCCAAGCCAATTCCCAGGTTCATGGCCTGTTTTCAGCAGCACTGTCCATTACTCCAGCTCCAGCCCAGGAAAAGGTGCTGGAATGAGATGCTATTCCCCACCGAGGCTGAGAGAGAGGCATCCTCTACCCCTGCACCTTCAAAGGGCAGCTGCTGCAGTTTGTTCAATCTTAAGAATACACGTATTTTCTTAATTTTTGACTGTGCATCCTTTGGTAAAACAGATTAAAATGCATTTAAAGGACATCCAGAATCCATAAGGATTTTTTTTACCTTACTTTGCTCTAACTTGTATCCACCTTTGGAGGCTTTGGACATAAATTTCCACTAATGATTGCCTGTCTATGGGCTATGGGAGCCATCACTGAGCTCAGCAATCACTACTTTGAGCAGCCCCTCTGTCCTGAGCCCTGGGGTTGGGATGAAGCTGCCCTGTGGCTGTGGGAGCTGCATCCCCATCCCATCTCCACACCTGGAATTGCTCCTTGCAAAGAGCTGGACGTGTTATTGCCTGTTTCCTGCTGCTTCTCTGCTCCCTAAAAATGATCTGTGACTCTGAAGGAGGCAGCTGAGATTCCCAGTAGGTGAAACTCAGAAGAACAAATCCAATAAAACGTGAATGAGCAAAATCTGCCCGAAGACAAGAAGAGGAATTAACATGTTTTTTCTTCTTCACAGATTATTGGCAAGAAAGGCAATTAAATAGCCTGATGTAATAGCATCTAATTAACTTGCAAGACTGAAAATTCTTTGTTTTAATGACATACCAATACTTGGTTTTCTGATTACCAAGCACATATTGAAGTATATATATCACACTGAGATTTCCTAATTTGCTATTATTTGCCTGTAAATGGTAATTTATTACCTCAAAATACTGAAAATGAGAAAGGAAGAAGTCTCTTGCTGCTTTTAGCTCTGGATATAATTTTGACCTTAAGAAAGAACAAGACAGATATGAGAGAGTATATTAGATGTTATTATTACCCTAATAAAATAGAGATAAAAATCATAGTGCAGAAAGACTCTGAGACAACTATTAACCATTTGTCATAGAAAGAAAACCAAAATTTAACTTATCAGATAGTCTGGCACTTTAAAGATTCATCATGAAAAATTACTTCTAACAGTGAAGCATTTATGCAATATGTCATTGATGAGCTGTCTGCTTAAATGTTTAAAGAGTTTGGGAAAAGACTGAAAAAATGTCAAAGATACGCTTTTTATTAGTCTGGCAGAGAGCTTCACTGTATTTAAATTTATTTTTAAGAGTGAAACACTGTGGCATTACATTTTTCTTTGCGAAAACAAGCTGAGCTCGTTGTTCTACCCCAACGTGAGATGGTTGGTGAGCACAGCCAAAGTGAGGATGGAGCTTTTTACCTGAAAAAATGACACAGCTGTACATCAAACATCACCCCAGAGCCCGGGGAAATTTTGCTGCCTTTGTGCCAATAGAAAGACTTTTTCTCCTAATCCCCTCCTGGATTCGAAGTCACCGGGTTGATTATGCTGGAAATGAAGCATATCTTAACAGCTTGATCAGCTGAGACCCATCTCCTCGGATCCTTCCGTGTGGATCTTTCAGGAGACATAACAGGGCTCAGTGTGATCAGAAATGAGCTGTCAGGTGCTGCTCTCGAGGTATCACCCACAGCTCATTGGGGGCAGCCCAGAGAGGCTGAGCTCCTCGACGGGCTTTGGCTCAGACACTCAGGGGGAGGGAATGTTTTGTGTTCGCTCCTCACGGCCTGTCCAAGGAGCCCAGAGAATCTCTATGGCAACCCTTGAGCACCTCACAGCAGCTCTGTGCTCTGACAGATTCCTCTGCCCACAAAACATCCTCACTGATCCCTGTGGTTTGTGCCCACTGTCTGCTCTAACCCACCAGCTCTCGATTCAGGCACCAGAGCTCAGCTGGCACTTCCAAACCACAGCCAAATGTGGAGCTGGAGCTCCATGAGGAGCCCAGGCCACTGTGGTTGGCTCTCTGTCTTCATTAGCATCTTAATTAGCAGCATGACACTTGGATGAACCGAAGGAACTGGGGAAATTTATTGTTAAACACCA